ACAGCTACTGTGGAGGAATTTATTCTCAGAGAACTACAAGAGAAGACTTGTCATCCAGGTCTGGCCTTAGCACTTTGCTCTCCACCTTATCTTACATTAAAGTAAAACTAAAGGGAAAACTTTTTTTTTTTTCATTTTGGATAGAGCAAGGAAGGGCTATAACCCCTGTCAGATTTTTTTTCCTGCCATCTGTGTCTCATTGCAGAGATTTCCTTTCACTTCCTGTCCCATAGCCAATCAAGAAGTGAGAGGAAATCTCTGCAAATTAAGGGAATTCCTTGGGGAACCCCAGCTCACAAGAACTAGTGTCCCCATTGGAAGATTTCCCCTCTGTTACTTCTCTGGGGACAACCCAAAAAATTTTGCAATTTTTTTTTTTTTTCTTTTACTTTAACTTTCAGTGATAATGGTAACCAGGACAAATAGGGTGAATCTTCCTAATGGGGACATAGACAGCAATAAAAACTGACAGGTGTTCTAATGGATCTCCACTCTATCCAAAACTAGAAAAGAAGGGTTTGCCTTTAGTTATACTTTTCTGATTAGGACAATCTCAGGCCGCCAGTCTCTCCGGGGGGGGGGGGGGGGGGGGGAAGCAGAATCAGCTGAGCTGTTACAATCAAAAGCAAGTGAATGTGTTTTGGCTGTGAGTGAGCTGTGGTGCATGCTTTACCACAGCACAATATAGTGTGAACGGGCCCTGAAGGACTTCAGTTTGTCTGCTTTTAGGATGAATTACTCCACAGTGCCTGCAACTACAGAGTTAATTGTGGGTGTGTTAAAGCTTATGTACTGCTTAGGAATATTTAAACATTTGTATGTCAATAGACTGGACACAATTCTACTTTGATGAGAAAAATAGATGCACTTCCATTGCTAACCTTCTTGCTCTGGTTGAACTCATTACATGGTGTCCTGAAAAAAGTATGTAGTCAGGGAGTCAAAACTGCTGACATACAGTGTTTTTGGAGCAATAACTAATGGAACTAGTATTTAAAAAAAAAAAAAAAAAAAAAAAAAAAAAGAGCATGCATGTAATTCAAGACAGGCTCTGTTTCAAAGAGCATCCAACCCAGGTTTTGCCTTTCTGCAGTCAGAAAAATGATTCATGATCACTAATAGGTTTTTAAGATTGTCTGCTGTTATTTGTACCCCTACACTAAGCCCTACAGCTTCCAATTAGCAGTACAAAATACAGTTCTTAGGGTCAGAGGGTTTAGGTGATTGTAAAAATGTTCACATGTAATAGCTGGCTCCAGTCAAAACTAACATTTAGCATTGTATGGGTACCAGTAGGTAAAAGAACTTGAGCATTGTACATCTCTTGTACACCTCATTGGCGATATTCCCTGCTTTATTGTTATTTTATTGCTAGTGTGGTGCAGTAGTTTTTTAGCCTCCCTCTCATGCAGATAGGTTCCCAAAGTAACGGTTGTACAATGTGGAAAATCCATCGAGAGCTGGACACCAGCATATGGCTTTGTGAGGACCATTACTTCACTTTACAACCCTAATTAACATCACCCTTCCCAAAAGCAGTTCTCAATCTGTGTGTTGAACTAAACTTGCCACACACCTAACAATCTGACTGCAGAATCCCTTTTAGATCTACCAAAACAGGTAGTCCAGGGCCTGCCTGAGTGGATACAAAATGATTGGATTAGGTAGGTCCTCATACCTTTTTGGTAAATCTAAAGTTGATTGTAACCTCTATGGTGACCCTTAAGTCATGTTTTGGTGGGTCATAGTGATCCAGATTTCTAGATTCTAGTTTTTGTTAACATCTGAGTAATAAAGCAATATAAACAGTTTAATGGTCCTGTGTGAATATGTGTCATACAATTTTTGTGCAAATAATTTGTTGTCCTTTTAGAAAAAACATCACATGTAGGTGAAACATATGGTAATCAAATTCTATAGTTCAAACTTATACACACACTGCATAAAATACATTTTTAGTGCTGACTCCAGGGGCGGACTGACCATTCGAGCACTTGGGAACTGCCCGAGGGCCCGGGGTCAGTAGGGGGCCCCATGACATGCCCCTGGTACCTTTCATTGGCTTTTTCATAGGCTTTTTTTGGGTGTGGGCGAGGATACGGGGGCACCATGATCCCCTATTGCCTGGGGGCCCCATGAGTCAGTCCGCCCCTGCTGACAGCAATTATCTCATTGACATCTGCAGTCTGTAGGTTAACAGTCACTGATAGGAGTTCCTCTGCCATGGTAACATTCATCATTTGACAGTTCAGAGCATGCAGAGGTGCACACACCTATCTGTCAGGCCACAATTTAATTAACAACCAAAGGCCTCTTCTAACAACTAGGAACTAATCAGTGAGGTTCTTGATCACCGTGATCATGATGGTTGAAGGTCTATTTACAAAATTTGGTAAAGGAGATATAAGAATTTGTGGTATAATAAATATCATGTCTTAGGATGCACTTATATGTATTTTATGGGATATAATTTTTATGGCAAAGAAATAATATATTATTGATCTTTCTAACATTGTTTTGCATATCTTTAGGTCCCTTTTCACGTCGGCAATCTGATCTGGTCTACCTGTCAGTTTATCAGGTGGACCTGATCGGGTGGTCCATGTACTCCTGTGGACCAGTGAATGTAAACTGACTTGTGTCTTTTTACACTTGTCTATATCCAATTTGATCCGCTAAAAAAAATAAAATAAAAATGGGAGGGGATCTGTTCCTTCATTTAGGCAGCAGAGTCCGATTACACCTGACCGACCATCCAGCAGAGTGGGCTCAGTCCATGCCTGCTGTGCATAAACTGAGTGGAGGTAGACCTGTCATCCACCCTGCTCTGCTTAGCAGGGGATTGTCAGACCGATCCCCTGCTGAGCAAAGCAGATATACTCTGTGTGAAAGGGGCCTTAAGTGGTAACTCCACTTTCGTGGGAAAAAAAATTGGCAAAAAAAAAATCTAGCATATACAATTGCGATTGTAATTGAATTTTATTCAAATTTTACCTTTTGAAATGTTTACATTTTCTGCAAAGTGCAATGCAATATGGCAACCTGGAGGTACTCTGTACACTGATGGTGTACAGAACGTCCCCCAGAAATGTGATTTCCTGCTTATGTGATTGGCTTATTGATTTTCCTAGAAGTCTGCACTAAGATATAAAAAGATTTTGAGCATCTCCTGCAACAAAAATGTCGATTTTGGTGCGATACTCCAAAAGAGAAAATGGGTCTAAAAGGATTCAGGCCCTGCCACTCTCCTCATTAGAGCCCTGCAGGTGCAGCAGCTGACTCATAATTCTAAAACTATTCACATTCACTTTGCACATGGACACAGACAAAAGCCGGCCATACATGGCTCGAATTCCAAAAGAATTTTCTTTTGAAAATCTTTTCTAAAGAATTTTTGTTCGAATTTCGTACCATTAGTGGGCCACAGCAACGGCCGATTTTTTTGTGACCATTTGAGTGATTGGGTATGTTGGGAATTTTTTGAAAAACTAAAAAACGTCTAATCAATGATGGGAGAATCATGCAAGAAATGTAATCGAAAAAGAAATGAGCATGAGCTGTGTGACCTGGAAATAAAAGAAAATTCTTGGCCACAAAAATTCTTTTCTGTAGCAATGAAGTGAAATTAAAGGCTTGGTTGGTCAAATTTCGAAATCAATGGTGGCATCATTGGTTTACAAAATGCACATAATTTCCCATTTTTTAAGGAACATTAATTCGGAATTCAACCCATGTATGGCCTCCAAAACAGCTATTTCTTTACAATAACAAAAGGTAGGAATCTGCAACAAAATTTATTATAAATCCCTGAAATATACATAGATCACCCAGAGGGGAATATTTTTTTTCCTCATCAAAAGTGGGGTTACTCTTTCAAGTCCCATTTTTTTGTATTAATAACAGCATTTACAAACTAAACCTTTTCATCCACTTCAGCTGAAAGATGGCGCTGTCCCTGTTTAACACTGTTATTGTCAGATACAACTATAGTATTGAAAAGAACAATGTATATCATTTTTTTTTTTTACATTTTTGTCCATTTGATACAAGTAAAAACATATGAATTACATATTTATTAAAACCGTGATCAATTATAATGTCCTTTAAAAATGTAAAGAATATTTAGGTTAGCAAATTGGTCATAGTTATTTTCAAATTAACATGGACTTTCTTTAATGACCTCTGGCTAGTAAAGACTTAACTAAGTATAAATAGTGATGTTAGTTATTCTGTTTGGGGAGTCAAGGAAAAATGTGTCCCTCCAAGCCCTCCTCTCATATACTTGAACCTGGTGATGGCTTGGAGTCCATCACACCTTCTTACATGGCTACGTATAACCTAAAAGAAAAGCTGCACACCAGATGATGTCTTCTTCAAAAGCAACACTTTAGTCAGGTGACAATCTTTAGCATATGGTCCCATGGACTGAGAGGGTAGTCTGCGGTGAGGGGGGTTTAGGGCTATGGAGAGGAATATCTGTACTGAGTGGGGAATTTGGGCTGTTGGGGATAATCTACACTGTGGAGCAGGGGCGGACTGACAACTCATGGGCCCCCGGGCAATAGGGGATCATGGGGCCCCTGTGTCCTTGCCCACACTCAAAGCACACCCAAAAATTCCTATAAAAAGCTACCAGGGGCATTTCATGAGGCCCCCTACTGACCCCGGGCCCTCGGACAGTGCTCGAGAGATCGAATGGTCAGTCCGCCCCTGCTGTGGGGGATATGGCTTGGGAAGTGGGAATTTGTACTGGGAGGACAGGAAAGTTTTTGGTTGTGCACTGTCACTAGACTGTGTGTTATGTACTTCTGACCCTCACACTTTCTGCGCAAAATAGTCCTGCACTCTATGCATCATGCAGCCCTGACTCCTGCACCCTGTGTAATATGTACCCCAACCCCTGCACTCTTGAGCCCTGCACATTGTGTGATAACCACTCCTGACCCCTGCATTCTGTCCACTATAAACTCTGACACAAACCATGGGGTACTATTCCCCCTCTTATCCTCTTCACGCCGGCCAAATGCAAATGTGCGAACTCCCGGCGTCTGGGCCTTGACGCCGAGCGGCCGCACATTTGCGTGCAATTAAGAAAAACATATGTGCTGAGAGCGCGCACCCTGCTCATTCCCAGCACACATGTCCGGTATTCACGGCAAGGTCCCGATCTCCTCTTACGATTGGGACCTTTCCCAATCATGTGACGGTAAATCACGGAGGTCACATGACCTTAAAACCTCGCCACACCTCCTTGCTTCTGAAACCCTTAAAGGGCCAGGAGGCGCCGGCGCCAAAGGGTTAATGACCACAGGCACTTTGTAATTTTTTTTTTATTTCCGTTCACCATCATTCGTTTGTTGTTTACTCCCATGACTCAGGGGTGGGCATTTTCTACTCCACACTAGCCACAGTTCGGGCCCCTTTAAAATTAGAAGGACAGTAAATTGGCCCTTTGTTTAGGAAGTTTGAATACCCCTGATTTAAAGGATGAATACAAGATTTTACACACTTAATATGTTTCCTTCAGGGTCTCAAGGCCTTTCTAGTATTGTAGCATTGGAAATACTGACCAGTAGTATACAGAGGCTCTGTGTTGAAAGGAAAGTATCGGAACAGAAGAAAAGCTCTAGGAGAAACATATTTCTGTTTTTTTTTTTGTAGTATTGTCCCCTTCACACTTGCAAATAGGACAGTTGGCGACTACATGCAGGGGACCCAATGGGGGATTTCCTACTGAAATCAATGGGAGGTTGACCGCTCCCACACCTAATGGTTGCCGCTTGAATGTAATCACTCATGGAGGGGCCGCCTGGGAATGATCATCCCTGGATGCAGAGTGATTACATGCTAGCGGCTGCACTTTGCTATGGGAGCTGTCAACCTCCCATTGCTGTCAATAGTATTTCCAGCTGCAGAAAATGATTTGTAACCCCCCGCTAGGGGGGTTAGTATGTAATTGTTACCGACCAATTTGCATTTATAAGTGGTGCTTTACAGTTTTGTTTTTAAATTCCTTGTTTTCTTAGGTCACACCTATCAAGGAGTTTCCGTAGTGTAGTGGTTATCACGTTCGCCTCACACGCGAAAGGTCCCCGGTTCGAAACCGGGCGGAAACACTTTTTCTGCGACTGTAAACTAACAGCCAAAAAAAAAAAAAAGATCATGTGTCGTATAACACGGTGGCTGCATTTCTCAGGTAAAGGAGTATGCCTTGTTCTCATTTAGTATGTTTATGCACCTTAGATTACTTTTTTAATTCATATAAAAAAAAAGTATTTCACAGTTTAAAACAACACAGTATAACCTACACATATGGTTCAGTTTAATTGAAAAGCCACACGCCTGACAATATCTTCACAGGCAAAACTTTATTCAGTCAACAAGGTTTAAGCACATAGTCCCACCTCCAGGAATATCTCTCTGACATGTTTCACCCACTGGATTTAATCATGGAAGATATAGTTCATTTATTTTTTAGCCAACTGCATACCTCCTAACTTTTAAACTTGGAAAAGAGGTTAATTTCTAAGGGGCAGAATGCAGTGTGCATAGTGTGGGGGGCAAAAAAGTAGGTGTGGCCAGTGAAAAAAGGGAGTGGTTTAACCATTAGACCTTCAGGAGGTTTTACCCCCTTTTGCTTTTTTGCTATTCAACACTGTGCTATTTTAACTGGCAATTACTTGGCCATGCAACACTGTGCCCAAATTAACCTTTTATATATTTTTTTTACACAAATAGAGCTTTCTTTTGGTTGTATTGAATCTCTACTGGGTGTTTTAATTTTTGCTATATACCGTATTTTTCGCTCCATAAGACGCACTTTTTTCCCCCCAAAAAAGGGGGAAAAACGTCAGTGCGTCTTATGGAGCGAATATAAAGCGGTCGGTCCGGTATTTCTGCCGCCACCATGTCAGAATACCGGGCCGGCCGCTCAGCTGTTCTCTCCTGCAAGGCCTTACCTGTTCCTCGCTCCAGCGCTGCAGTCTTCCTGCGCTGACTTCTCTTACAGCCGGGTGCCCAGTGCGCATGCGCTGCGCTTTGTGAATGGTCCAGTGTTTTCTGGGACACATGACAGGTCCCAGAAGGCGCCGGGCCATTCACAAAGTGCAGCGCTCCTCGCGCATGCGCAGTGGGCACCCGGCTGTCACAGAAGCCGGCGCTGTTAGAAGAGGGAAAGACAACGCCGCGGAAGTGGGAGCGGGTACCTGTCAAATTCAGGTACCCGCTCCCCCTCCCTCCCCAAAGGTCAGCAGTCTCTGGTCATCCCCTGCACTGTCTGCAGTCTCTAGTCATCCCCTGTACTGTCTGCAGTCTCTGGTCATCTGTACTGTGTCCCTGGTATTTTCCCTGTACTATGTCCACAGTCTCTGGTCATCTCCTGTAATATGTCCGCAGTCTCTGGTCATCTCCTGTACTGTGTCCGCAGTCTCTGGTCATCTCCTGTACTGTGTCCGCAGTCTCTGGTCATCTCCTGTACTGTGTCCGCAGTCTCTGGTCATCTCCTGTACTGTGTCCGCAGTCTCTGGTCATCTCCTGTACTGTGTCCGCAGCCTCTGGTCATTCCCTGTACTGTGTCCGCAGTCTCTGGTCATCTCCTGTACTGTGTCCGCAGTCTCTGACTGTCTCCTCTAGCTTGTCTGCAGTCTCTGACCATCCCTGTACTGTGTCCGCAGTCTCTGGTCATCTCCTGTACTGTGTCCTCAGTCTCTGGTCATCTCCTGTAGTATGTCCGCAGTCTCTGGTCATCTCCTGTAGTATGTCCGCAGTCTCTGGTCATCTCCTGTAGTATGTCCGCAGTCTCTGGTCATCTCCTGTAGTATGTCCGCAGTCTCTGGTCATCTCCTGTACTGTGTCAGCAGTCTCTGGTCATCTCCTGTACTGTGTCCGCAGTCTCTGGTCATCTCCTGTACTGTGTCCGCAGTCTCTGGTCATCTCCTGTACTATGTCCGCAGTCTCTGGTCATCTCCTGTAGTATGTCCGCAGTCTCTGGTCATCTCCTGTAGTGTGTCCGCAGTCTCTGGTCATCTCCTGTAGTGTGTCCGCAGTCTTTGGTCATCTCCTGTAGTGTGTCCGCAGTCTCTGGTCATCTCCTGTACTGTGTCTGCAGTCTCTGGTCATCCCCTGTACTGTGTCCGCAGTCTCTGGTCACCCCCTGTAGTATGTCCGCAGTCTCTGGTCATCTCCTGTAGTATGTCCGCAGTCTCTGGTCATCTCCTGTACTGTGTCCGCAGTCTCTGGTCATCTCCTGTACTGTGTCTGCAGTCTCTGGTCATTCCCTGTACTATGTCTGCAGTCCATTGGTTCAGAATATTTTTTTTTTCTTGTTTTTCGCCTCTAAAACCTAGGTGCGTCTTATGGTCAGGTGCGTCTTATGGAGCGAAAAATACGGTACATTTTTGAAAAAAAAAAACAACAACTTTTTTCTTAGTTTCTGTTATAACATTTTGCAAACAATCTTTTTTTTTTTTTTTTTTTTTTAAATAAATTTAGGCCAACATGTATTCTGCTACTTTTCTTTGGTAAAATAACCCAAATCCGTGTATATTATTTGTTCTGTGTGAAAGTTATAGAATCCACAAACTGTATATACAATGTATTTGAAAATTGATCAGTCCTAATGTTCTGACGGCCTATCTCATTTCCTGAGGCCCTAAACTGCCAGGACAGTACAAATAGACCCCATATGACCCCTTTTGGTAAGTAGACAGACAACAATATTTAGTAAGAGGCATGGTGAGTTTTTTTAAGCTATCATTTTTTATCTTTTTTTTTTTTTTTTGGAAAATTAAGAAAGTAATTTTTTTTCACAATTCTTTTTACATACCTTCCCCAGTGCAGTACAGCATCATCTTATGACTGGTGTGGCAGTGCTCAGGAATACTGGTCATTGATAGTGTATATATAAAAATAAATAAATATTTTTTCTTCAATCTTTTAAACATTTTTTACTTTTTTACTATTTTTTTCTTTTACTTTCTTTAGAGTAGTGTAGGTCCCGTGTGATCCTGGTATGAACCGGCCTTTTCTAAATAAACAATATGATTTAGCTGGATATTTATGAGGAACAATGCCTATACAATGGCCCAGAACAAATGAACTGAAGATTTCCTATGGTGACATACTTCCATTCTTTGGAGAAATTAATATCTCAAACTTACCACTCTATTTCCTTGAGTTTGTTACATCTATTACCGAGTGAAATTCTATTTTTTCCATACATTGGCCTGCTCAAAACACGAGGCCTATTTAGGTCATGCACTGTGATGGCGTCAGTATGAGGCAGGTCCCTTTGAGAAGGTGCTTGTGCACGAAACGCGTCAGTGAGGAGCGAAGGGGAAGTTCGTTTGCAAATATGCACACATAGGAGCCCATACTACAGTGGGAGGTCATCGGGTCATTGCCCTTTTTCTCCTGCAGTGGATGGATACATCCTGAGGAGTGATTTAAATACAAGGCCTTTCTGGTGAGTGCATAGTGGTGGAGGATTGTCACAGAATTCACACAAGTTATTTTTTATCGTTGATCACTATTGGTTCACACAGGACATTTGTATTGCTAGTCATCATTGATACACAGAGTATTGTTGGACACTGCAATACTGGACTTTATGAAAGTGAATAATATTCACATATTTGTTTGGTTTTTGTTCACTTACCAGCGCTGCACTTTTATTTATGTGTTTATGTAGTGGATGTAGAGGGTTTGCCATATTGTGCTAGCTGCTCATACAACTCTTTGCGGTCACTGTTTACAATTTTTACACATTTCTATTACAGAAACCCGGAGGTTAGAGCTGTAAGGAACTTTATTACAGGATATGGATATTTTTGAAATAAGGTCTAAGAGACCTGTTAACTCTGATGAGGTTTTTGCACATGATGAGGAAGTTGATGACCCACGTGGGCTTTTCATTCATTTGGAAAATCTCACCACCTCCGAGATCAGAGCTCTTTGGGACATTTCCTTTTTGGAAAAATATGTTAAAGAAAACATGATCCCTAGATCATTATGCTGGAAAGTTTCTCTGGAAACTGACGACACTAACAGTGATTTAGAGTGGTACCAATTTTTTAATAGTGCAGGTTTAGATTAGCTGAAATTTTTAATCCTTAGAAAAAAGAAAAAGTTCCTACATCTGGATACTGAAATAAATAAGACACAAGAAAAATTGGCACCATATATGGGAAAGGAAGAGTATACAGGTGAATCGGACAAATTAAAACTTTTAATGGATGCTACAGAAAAGGAACAAAAACGTAAGAAGAAAAAGTTATCTAGGGATCTTAAGGATTATAAGCAGAACTTAGGCTTCAAATGGCAAGCTGTTAAGGAGGATTCTAATAATGTTACATCTGCCCAAGTGAATTCTAGTGGCATTATATATGGTGATAGAGAAGGGTTGAAGGGGTTTTATGGGAAACATAAGGGACGTGGTCCATTTCAGAATGGGTATAGAGCCTACAATACCTCAGTTAGAGAGACGAGATTCCCTGGATGGCATTCCAGTGAGGATATGTATGCTGTATCCACTAACAATAGATTTGAGGCTGTATATAATCTCCAGGATGAGAATATAGGTACCAGAGATATGAGATCTCATCCGGTGCAATCCCATAATACTAACAATCAAAGGAGGGGCCCACAGTAATGGAGGAACCATAATCAACTAAGTTTTCCCCCTAGGCCCAATAATGGAGATCACTATGGGGGCTTTAGACCCTGCAAACAGTCCTGGCAGACTGCAGATGTTAGGATTGGAGGGGGACGGAATTCCTCAACTCCTTTCCATCCCAAACCTAATTCTAATAACAGGAGAAATAATTTTTCAAATAATCGCCAATATTATGGAGATGAAAGAGGTGGTTACAGACCTCCTTATCAAAATCAGGAGGGCACGAGGTCCTACTATGGACCTTCTGCAGGTAATCATAGGGACAACTTTGGCCAATATGGAAACGGACCCCACAGGGATATCACCACCATCAGGCTAGGTCCCCTTACAATCAGGAAGGGACACAGGCCCCTTTTTTAGGGGAGGGAACTTCAAGAAAAAGAAGTGTCCATATAGAGGAAGACGAGGGAGAAAGAGGGTTCGTGGATCCCAAGAAAAGACGGATGTAGACAACAATGGTATCTTTAATCTCAGCAAAACTGTTTTATCCCCTAATGAGATATCCCTGCTTAACAAAGGCTTGAAGTTTGCACCCAAGGTTAAACTTAATGTTTCAGACATATGTAGATATTAACAAGCTTACTAGGCAGATGTCTTTAAAAAGACATTTTCTGATCAACCCCCCTACAGAGAATAAATGTGTTATTAGTGGCATCAAGAGTACCAATTTAAGGAATGCATTGTTGTTTAACCCTCCTTCGAGTAGTCATCCTCATATACAGTATCTCCCAGAAGTGAGTACGCCCCTCACATTTTTGTAAATATTTTATTCTATCTTTTCATGTGACAACACTGAAGAAATTACACTTTGCTACAATGTGACGTAGTGAGTGTACAACTTGTATAACAGTGTAATTTTGTCTAAACCGCTGGCAACATAAGTGAGTACACCCCCTAAGTGAAAATGTCCAAATTGGGCCCTATTAGCCATTTTCCCTCCCCGGTGTCATGCGACTCCTTAGTGTTACAAGGTCTCAGGTGTGAATGGGGAGCAAGTGTGTTAAATTTGGTGTTTTCGCTCTCTCTCTCATACTGGTCACTGGAAGTTCAACATGGCACCTCATGGCAAAGAACTCTCTGAGGATCTGAAAAAAAAAATTGTTGCTCTACATAAAGATGGCCTAGGCTATAAGAAGATTGCCAAGACCCTGAAACTGAGCTGCAGCATGATGGCCAAGACCATACAGAGGTTTAACAGGACAGGTTCCACTCAGAACAGGCCTCACCATGGTCGACTAAAGAAGTTGAGTGCACGTACTCAGCATCATATCCAGAGGTGGTCTTTGGGAAATAGATGTATGAGTGCTGCCAGCATTGCTGCAGAGGTTGAAGGGGTGGGGGGGGTCAGCCTGTCGGTGCTCAGACCATACGCCGCACACTGCATCAAATTGGTCTGCATGGCTGTCGTCCCAGAAGGAAGCCTCTTCTAAAGATGATGCATAAGAAAGCCCGCAAACAGTTTGCTGAAGACAAACAGACTAAGGACATGGATTACTGGAACCATGTCATGTGGTCTGATGACACCAAGATCAACTGATTTGGTTCAGATGGTGTCAAGCGTGTGTGGAGAACAAAGACAAGTGTGTCTTGCCTACAGTCAAGCATGGTGGTGGGAGTGTCATGGTCTGGGGCTACATGAGTGCTGCCGGCACTGGGGAGCTACAGTTCATTGAGGGAAGCATGAATGCCAACATGTATTGTGACATACTGAAGCAGAGCATGATCTCCTCCCTTCGGAGACTGGGCCGCAGGGCAATATTCCAACATGATAACGACCCTAAACACAACTCCAAGATTACCGCTGCCTTGCTAAAGAAGCTGAGGATAAAGGTGATGGACTGGCCAAGCAAGTCTCCAGACATAAACCTTATCGAACATCTGTGGGGCATCCTGTGGAGGAGAGCAAGGTCTTTAACATCCACCAGCTCCGTGATGTCGTCATGGAGGAGTGGAAGAAGAGTCCAGTGGCAACCTGTTAAGCTCTGGTGAACTCCATGCCCAAGAGGGTTAAAGCAGTGCTGGAAAATAATGGTGTCCACACAAAATATTGACACTTTGGGGCCAATTTGGACATTTTCACTTAGGGGTGGACTCACTTTTGTTGCCAGCGGTTTAGACATTAATGGCTGTGTGTTGAGTTATTTTGAGGGGACAGCAAATTTACATGTTATACAAGCTGTATACTCACTACGTCACATTGTAGCAAAGCGTTATTTCTTCAGTGTTGTCACATGAAAAGATAGAATAAAATATGTACAAAAATGTGAGGGGTGTACTCACTTTTGTGATATACTGTGAATATTTTTAGGGACATGGTCATAAAGGACCTTGAATCCCTATA